CTGTTGTTATTTTAGGCTTCTTGACTAGGCAAGAAGCACAGCTGCAGTGTCTGGGAGGTGACCAAGGTCAGCTACTTCAAAGAAAGCACTCTTCTAAGGGGAAGCAACTAAGTTCAGCCGCTTTGAAGCTGCCTGTTTTTCTAGCCTTTGAAGTTTAAAGTGGCTGTTTTATACAAAGGGAAGAAAATGGAGTTACTTTGGCTATTACAATTTGGGGTACTCCATTTGGGGCCATTACAACAGATAGAAAATACCTGAAGCTTTCAAATCCTGCCTCAGAGTAATGATTTTCATTTAGGGCAAATCCGGCCCAAGATGGCGAAACACTGATGCACCTGTGTTTGTGTATATGTGTGACTGTGTGAAGGGGGAACAAGTGTAAAGTGGGGTTATGCCCCTAACTTTCGCCTTCATTGTCGCGGTGACTAAGATAGTGCTAGGATGCCAAGTTAGGGAGGCAAATCTAGTAGGGGTCAAATTATGGCACCGGGACACCCGTGTGCCATTCATTCACGGACTTGGCGGAGAGCCCAGAGTTTCTGAGCAGTGCTTTGGGCACGGGGAGAAGGTGAACGGAGCACAACAGTCTTGGTTCTCACGGCCTCAGTTTCCCATTTTAGAGGGAAGATTAGAAGAGTTGCCCAGCTGGGACTCACCCATTCCTTACTTCCCATGCCGCCAGGCTGCCTTTGCGCCTCACTTCCGGCCTCCACGCTTCACTTCCGGCTCGTACCTCCCGCAGTCCTTCCGCTTCTCTATGGTTACGGAGCCGCAGTCTCTCTGCCGTCGGAATTTGCTCGCTGACTGAAAAGCGTGAGGCGTCGACCGGTGAGCAGGGACGGCGGAGGGCGGCCCGTGCGGCCTGCGGTGAAGAGGGCGCGGTGGGTGCCCTGGGGCCGGGGTCCTTTCTTTGTCTTCGTCCTTACGTCCTGGGCGCGAACCTCCGCTGGTTTCCTTTTTTGGGAACATGCGGTGCAGCGTCCTCTCGCCCCACGCTGTACCCTCTTTCTTGATCGTGGGGGTGGCAACACCTCATTTATTGGGCATTCTTGTGCAGGACATGCTGCTGTGTGGACAGAGTTGAGATTTTTAGGACTTTCCGGCGCCCACTGGTGTGGGCTTGATCGGGATCAGCCCCGCCTCTTGTCTGTCTCTGGCCTGAGGCGGCGGGGTTAGAGTGGGGCTGATGGAGCCCAAAGTTAGGACGCCCTTGAAAAGGGCGAAGTGTGGGTGTTGGACGCGCACCTAGGTGTCTCTGCAGCTGTGGATGGGCTTCTGGGACTTTGAAGCTACTTAGTAACTGTAACTAAGTGTAAACACTAGTCAAAGTATGTACTGGCATGTTTCCTTTTTTTTTTTTTAAGCCCATAGAATTCCAGCCTTGCAGCAGAAGGGAGTGCTAGTAGTGATAAAACATGAAAGATGTGTAACATCCTTGTTACACATCTGTAACAAGGAGGGAGGCCCTAAGGCAGAGTTCACTGGCCATTTTTAACAGTTTTGTTTGTATTTTCAGAAAGGGGAATACAGATGTTTGGTCAGTTATTTTAAAAACTCCTGGGTGTTGGTCAGCAAGAGAGGAAAATCAAAACTAGGAAAGGGGGGGAGGCTTTCTTTCTAATGCCCCCCCATTTCCTAACTAGCTAGCCTGCCTTGCTGCTGTTTCATTAAATATTTTTTATTTATGCATCTTAATTTTTTTAAAAGAGAGAAAACAGGATTTTTGAGTATACTACAAGGGGCAGCACCTGCTCTGTTTTACTTAAAATTTTTTTTTGGACAGGGTCTCCCTAGTCCCATCCCACCTAGAACAGATTGGTTTCAATCTGAGATCACCTGCCTCTGCCCCCTGAGGGTTGGGATTAAAGGCCCACGCCACGGTGCCCCAGCTTATTTAAGATTAAAATATATGTATACATATATATGTGTATATATGTATACATATATGTGTGTATGTATATATCTGTATATATATACACATATATATGTATACACACACACACACACACACACACATATATATATATAAATTTTTTTTTTTGGTCTTTTTGAGACAGGGTCTCTGTAGCCCCAGCTGTCCTGGAACTCACTATGTAGACCAGGCTGGCCCTGAACTCACAGAGATCCGCCTGCCTCTGCCTCCCAAGTGTTGGGACCAAAGGCATGCGCCACCATGCCTGGCTTAAAAAAAATATTTATTTATTTTATGTGTATGAGCGTATTGCCTGTAGGTGAGTAGGTGCTCCCGTATTGTGCAATGCCTGTGGAGGTCAGAAGAGGGCGTCCGATCCCGTGGAACTGGAGTTATGGACAGTTAGCTCCATGTGGGTGCTAGGAATCGATCCCCTGTCCTCTGTAAGAGCAGCCAATGCTCTTAACTGCTGTGCCATCTCTCCAGTCTCTACTTAAGATTTCAAATTTATTTTGTGGGTCCTGGTGTTCAAACCAAGGGCTTCGTACATGCCAGGCAATCACACTACCACTGAGCTGCACTCAAAGCCATATTTTTTTCCCCTGGGATAGGGTCTCATGTGGCCCAGGCTGGCTTTGAACTCAACTATGTGCAAATGATGACCTTGAATTTCTCGTCTTCCAGCCTCTACCTCCAAAGTGCTTTGATTACAGGCATTCACCAGAAGTTTTATGCAGTGCTGGGGATCAAACCCAGGTCTTTTGAGTATGCTAGGTAAGGACTCTATCAAATGAACTACATTCCCATCCTCACAGGCACTTTTTAAAAAAATATATTTATTATTTTTATGTATATACATGTATTGCCTGCATGTAGGTAAGTGTTCACATGTTGTGCAATGCCTGCGGAGGACAGAAGAGGCTGTCAGATCCCCTGGAACTGGAGTTACGAACAATTAACTGTCACGTGGGTACTGGGATTCAAACTCTGGTCTTCTGCAAGAACAACCAGTGTTCTTAACTGCTGAGCCATCTCTCCAGCCCTCACAGGCACTTTTTAACTTCAATTTATTTTGAGAGAAAGCTTGAAGTCTGTGTACAACAAATGGAAAACTGATTTCACTTGTCTTATGCAGCAGATAATGGCATATAATTAAAACAGATGGTGCTAATCTGTTAAGATTCTGTCTTGGCTTCCTTGTCTAAGGCTTTGAGACAGAATCCATTTGTTACAAGAATCTTGGCATTTGCAGGTGTTAATGATAAATAAGGAAACAGGGTGCTCTTGAAACAATCAGATTTTTTGTTTTTTTGTCTTTTTGAGACAGGGCCTCCCTGTAACCACAGCTGGCCTGGATTCGCTATGGAGACCCAGCTGGCCTCAAACTCACAGAGATCTGGGACTGAAGAGATGGCTCAGTGGTTAAGAGCACTGACTGCTCTTGCAGAGGACCTGGGTTCAATTCCCAGCACTCACATGGTGGCTACAAAGCGTCCTTAACTCTAGTTCCAGGGGAATCCAAAGCCCTCTTCTGACCTCCGCAGCATTGCATGACATGGGTGCACTCACATACATTCAGACAATACACTCATTCACATAAAATAAAAATTTGAAAAAGAAAAAATAAAAAACCTCACAGAGATCCACCTGCCTTTGTCTCCAGAGTGCTGGGATTAAAGGCATGTGCCACCACACCTGTCCAGAATTTTTTTTTTTTTTTTGAGTTGAAAAGGGATAGCACAGCATGGTAACACATATCTATAATCTCAGTTCTTGTAAGGGTGAGACGGGAAGAGCTTGAATTAGAGTCTAGCCTGAGCTACATAGAGAGGCCTTGTCCAAAAAGGAAGGCAGGGTGAATTAACTTTGTTCTCAGGTGTTTAGCTTTAAGCAAGGCCACTCTTGTACCATCTAAAGCACCATCCCAAATCATGTGCATCACTGTCCACAGTGGTGTGCCTCTGTGTCAATTGTCTCCTCTCCCCAACCCTTCAAGTAGGAACTATTGTTCATTTAACTTTTGAGGAAGCAGTGAGAAAAATGAAGTGATTTATTTCAGGACTCATAGCTATAAAATAGAAAAATGGAGGTTCCAACTCAGACCTCCTCTGTCTCATAATATATTGTTTGCTTCCTCCAAAAGTGTTGATGACAAATTGGATAAGAGGGACAAAGCTGCCCATTTCATGAGGCTGGAGAAATGACCCAGCAGTTAAGAGCACTTTCTACTTTTGTAATGGACCTGAGTTCCATTCCCACCACCCACATGATAATTAACAGCTGTCCATAAATCCAGTTCCAGGGGACTTTACACCCTCTTTTGACTTCTGTGGGTATTGCATACTTGTGGTCCACTTATATAGATGCCAGCAAAATTCATACACAAATTTAAAAAAATATATTTTTAAAATTTTATGTGTATGAATGTATTGCCTGCATGTATGTAAGTGCACCTGAGTCGTGCAGTGCCTGAGGAGGTCAGAAGAAGGTGTCTGGTCCCCTGGAACTGTAGTTACTGATGATTTTTAGCCTCCATGTGGGTGCTGGGAACTGAACCCTGGTCCTCTGTAAGAACAGCCAGTGCTCTTAACCTCTGAGCCATCTCTCTAGCCCCTATATTAATTTTTTTAAAAATTAAAAACTAAAACATGCTGTCTACTTCAGGAAGTTGTGATGTTGCAAGAGTTGGCAAAGGAGGATGTTTTGTATCCCCAATGCCCCATGAAATGTAGGCTATGTTCTGTACTTAAATATTAGGGCCAATCAGGCAGTAGGATGCTGGTGAGACTAGGAGATGCAGTACTGTAGTTATCAAGAGCACTGGTGGCATCAAATGGACTCATGCTAACTGCAACTCTGGACCAGTCTGTCACCTAAGCCTGTTTTCCCATCTGTAAAATGGTAGTGATTCTTATCTGAAAAGTATAATTAAATGAGAACATAGTCATAGTGTTTAGATCAAAGCCTACTACTCAATTATTAGTATTGGGAATAGGCTTATACACCAGGCAGGAATTTGAATGTAATTTTATGGAGCACTTTGCTAGCCTCCTGAGGAAGAGAGCATTGTTTACAGTCTTGTGAGGAAGACAGGTAAATGGTTCAAAAGAGATTAATTTCCTAGTAGTTTATCCAAAATACTAAAAGGAGTGCATTGGGAAGATCTAAGAAGCTTCTCAGAATAGGCAGGTGTTACTAAAAGTAGAAAATAATATTCTAAGAGAAATAATGTGGAGTATTTTGGAATACAGGAGCGCTACATGCAGGAATACAGGTTGGAGGCAGAAAGAGGATTAATAAAACAGGAATGTAAGAAATGTGATTGGGAAGGTGGGTTGGGGACAAACTATGAAGGGTCTTATGCCAGGCCAGAAAATGGAAACTTCATTCAGTGCACTGTGAAGAACAAGGAAAGGTTTTGAAACAGAAGAGGCTTTAATCAGGTTGGGTCTTTTTTTCTTTTTTTTTTTTCCTTTTTTCTTTTCTTATGATGCTGAAGATCAAATCTATGACCTTGTACATGCTAGGCACTCTACCACTGACCTGCACCCCAGTTCAGTTGATCTTTTTATTTATTTAGACAAGGTTCATTAGTGTAGGCTGACTTTGAACTTACCATGTAGCTGAGAATGACCATGAACTTCAGATCCTCTACCTCTACCGCTGAGTGTTGGGATTATAGGCTTGAGCTACTATGCCTGGTGTATTTGGTGCTAGGAATTGAACCCAGGGCTTTGTGAGTACTAGGCAAACACTCTTCCAACTGAACTGTATCACTAGTCCCTCAGATGGGTTTTCTTTTTTGGGGGGCGGGTCTTTTTGAGACAGGGTCTCCCTGGAGCCCCAACTGTCCTGAAACTCACTACGTAGACCAGGCTAGCCTTGAACTCACAGAGATCTGGCTACCTCTGCCTCCCGAGTGCTGGGATTAAAGACATGCGCCTCCACACCCAGCTGGCTTTTCTTTTTTTAAGATTTCTTTTTTTTTTTTAATGTATATGAATGTTTTACTCACATGTATGTAAGCATACCATGTGTGTGCACTGCCTGTAGAGGCCAGAAGAAGGCGTTGGATCCCCTGGAACTGTAGTTACAGGCTACCATGATTTGCCTGAGGTGGGTGCTGGGGACCAAACCAGGGTTTTCTGCAAGAGCAGCAAGTGTTCTTAACTGCTGAGTCATCTCTCCAGCCCCCTAGAGATTTATTTTTAATTACGTGTATGCATGTGTGCCTGGGTGGGGGTGGTGCACATGACTACAGTGCCTGCAGAAGTCAGAGGCTCTGGATCCCCCTGGAGCTGGAGTTAACAGGTGGTTGTGAGCCACCTAGTATGCATGCTGGGAACCGAACTCCAGTCCTCTGCAAGAGCAGTACATGCTCTTAATTGCTGAGCCATCTTTCCAGTTCCTAATTTGAGAAGGTCTTAAAAGCTTTCTCTTCTTAACAGCCCTCTGTATTTCCTTCTGACTTGGAGGAACAACAATGTCATCAGAATCCAGCAAAAAACGCAAACCCAAAGTGATCCGAAGCGATGGCGCTCCAGCTGAAGGAAAACGGAGTCGGTCTGACACTGAGCAGGTGAGATGAGGCAGGGTAACCATGCTGCTTAGAAACTAGAGATTGTGGCATAACCTCTGCCTGTGAGTGTACAGGAACTCAGGGTCACATGTACCATAGCCAGTCTTCCAATTGCCTCTACTTGACCAGATGACTAGAATTCCAGTGCTTCCCAAAAGGTAAGTTTCCACATCAGGTTTAGCTGTAGCATATCAAGACTCAACAAGCCTATATTAAATGTGATTAGTAGCTGCACAGACAACATGTTCCAGTGTGCTATTTCCAGTTTTCTTGGCAGTCCTAAGGTTTGCATTGGCTGCACAACACTATAGCCTCAGCTGTTTTCATCCCTAGATCTGCTACTAAGAAAGTACCAGAACCATTTGTCCACTGGACATCTTTTGTGGCCCAAGAGCTCTTGGCATCAGCAGACTCTTCTATTCCTTTTGTCCTTGAATCTATCAAGCTGATCCATGACTTAGTTTGTCGGTTTTTTTGTTTTGTTTTTGAGTCAAGATCTCATGTAGCCACGGCTATTCTTGACTTGCTATGTAGTGGAGGGAGACTTTGAACTTCTGATCCTCTTGCCTCCACCCCAATCCTCTAACTTAGTTGTTTTGATTATTTGGCTGATTGTTTTTTGTTGTTACTGTTTTGAGTCAGGGTCTCATGTATGTAAGTGCACCTGTGTCATGCATTGCCCACAGAGGTCAGAAGAACCAGTTCCGTGGAACTGGAGTGTTACAGATGGTTGTTAGCCCCCATGTGGGTGCTAGGAACTGAACCCAGGTCCTCTACAAGAGCAGTCAGCGCTCTTAACTGCTGAGCCATCTTTCCACTCCCGTTTGGTCTTTCATTAAAAAAAAAAAAATTTATTCTTATTTTATGTGTATGAGTATTTTTCCTGCATGTATGTGAATGTACCATGTTCATACAGTGTCCACAGAGGCCAGAAGAGGGGGTTAAGTCCCAGGAACTGGAATTACAGATGGTTGTTAGCCATCATGTGGGTACTGGAAACTGTACCCGGAAGAACAACCTGCGTCTTAACCACTGAGCCATTCTTTTTTTGAGACACACCTTGTGTTATAGTCTTAACTAGCCTTGAAGTTCACTTTGTCCTATCTCCACCTTCCAAGTGCTATGATTACAGATGCATACCACAGTGCCTGGCATGTGTATGTATCTTCATATGCTGTGTGCAGGTACATGTAGAGGCCCAAAGTTGATAGTGGGTGTCTTCCCTGATCACTATTTATTGAGACAGGGTCTCTCACTTAACCCGTTGTTTGCCAGTTCTGGCTATTTTTGCTATTCAGTTTGCTCTCAGGAATCTCCTGTTTCTGCCTCCAGAACTCTGGGATTACAGGTGGCCACCACACCCTCCTGGATTTTGCAGGAGTTCTGGGGATCTGAACTCCAGCCTCATGCTTATAGGGCAAGTACTTTATCCATTGAGCCATCTCAGTCCACTAACAGCACTTTTTTTTAATTAAAATTTTTTTTTGATTTTTTTTTTTTTTTTTACGTCTGTGTTTTGCATGTATGTATGTAAATTCATCCTTACATATTGTGCAGTGCCTATGGAGGCCAGAAGAGAGTGTTAGATCACCTAGAACTGGAGTTAAAGATGATCGTTAGCTGCTATGTGGGTGCTGGGAACCACCGAACCAGGTCTTTTGCAAAAGCAGCCAGTGTTTTTAACTGCTGAGCCATCTCTTCAGCCCCCACTAATAGTGCTCTTAAATCTTACCTGTTGTTTTACAAAGACGGGGAGACCAATTATGTTTTAGTCTTTGCTAAAGCTTGACTTAACCATCTAAACACCCATTAGGAGGAATGTGGATAAATGACTTCTGGTTCATCTTATAGGAGATGATCATTACAGCCATTTTGGTAAAGTAAGTTATCTATCTATCTATCTATCTATCTATCTATCTATCTATCTACATATATTTGGATGAGAAATTTCCCTAATAAGCATGGACAGTATGATCCTCTCTTGTTTGAAAATAAATAAAAATCCACAGTATTCACAATGGACTTAGTTTGGATTGAGAAGTGAAATTATAGGCAGTTAAAACATTTTTGTTTTGTTTGTGGTGTGTATGGGTGTGTGATTTGAGTGTGTAATGGCGCACATATGGGGGTTCAGAGGACAACTGTGGGAGTTGGGTCCTTTTCTTAGACCATGTGAATCCTAGAGCTCAAACTCGGGTCATCAGGCATGATGGCAAGTACCTTTGTCTGCTAACCCACAGGTCATTTTTTACTTTGCTTTTGATAGTCCTCTTTTCTGAATCCTGGACACAGGCATGAATTACTTTGTAATAAAGAGACATAGAGGTTTCAGTTTCTGTTTTGTTGTTATTTGTTTTGAGACCGGGTCTCACTATGCAGCCCTGGCTGGCCTGGAACACCCTATATAGACCAGACTGGCCTTGAACTTCCAGAGATCTGCCTGCCTCTGCCTCCTGAGTACTGGAATTAAAGATGTGTACCACCACATCTGGCCATTGTAATGTTCTTTTGTAATGAGGGGTCTTATTACATATACAAGGCAAGGATACCTTCACCCAGGGCCTTTCTTGCCTCCACAGGAAGGCAAATACTACAGTGAGGAAGCCGAAGTTGACCTGCGGGACCCTGGCAGAGACTATGAGTTATACAAGTACACTTGCCAAGAGCTACAAAGATTGATGGCTGAGATCCAGGACCTAAAGAGCAGGGGTGGAAAGGATGTGGTAAGGAAAAAGGCCAGGCTGCATTTGTTCCGTCTTCAATTCCTGTCACTCTAGTCCAAAAGGAAATTGCTTTTTTGCCTGGGAACCTTAAGCATTTTCTTTATACAGTCATTCTTCCATTTCTTTTATGACATTTCTCAGGATTCCCACGCTCTCTTGCCAGGTTCTGTTTATGGCCTTTGATGGGTTTGGCTTAGCAGCTAGAGTCTGAAGGTATCTGAGCTAGTGCCTATTTTTAGTGGTCTTTACTATTTTCTTTGCACAAAGGCTTTCGAAATTGAAGAACGAAGGATCCAAAGCTGTGTGCATTTCATGACTCTAAAGAAGCTTAACCGATTAGCACACATCAGGTTAAAGAAAGGAAGAGATCAGACCCATGAGGTATAGTTAAAAGATTTAATTAACCCTACTTCTCACTCCTCCTCCCTTTCCCTTTCTTTAATTAACCCTTTGCCCCTTCTCTGACTTTGCTGATGCTGTGTCCCATCCCAACTTGCCCTGTTCCTCTTTGATCTTCCTTTCAGGCTAAGCAGAAAGTTGATGCTTATCACCTGCAGCTACAGAACCTGCTTTATGAAGTGATGCACCTGCAAAAGGAGATCACCAAATGTCTCGAGTTTAAGTGAGTTCAGGAGGATGGGGCTTTGGCACACCAGTCTGGTAATTGATTTTTTTCTTACATCGCTCAATGTGAGCCAGTCTCTTTAAAAGAAAATCAGTGAGCTTAGAAGACTAGGATTTGAGAGAAGGATCAATAATAGATTACTTCAAGTGTGTGAATCAAGCAGTAATTTCAGACTACACAAAGGACCATGGAAGACCCTTTGAATTTTGAACTCAGCCCTTAGTAAAAGCAATTCTTCCTCCCCAACAGAGGTCTTTACACTCTATTTTGATCCTATGCACCTTTTATGGGAACAGTTCACTTCCATTCATATAATTTTAACCTTTTAGCCAAATTTTCCTCTCTAAAATCTCAGCAGTTTTGCAAATAAATTTTGTTCTTTTGGTTTTTTTTTTTTGTTTGTTTGTTTGTTTTTTTAGTTTGTTTTTTGTTTTGTTTTTTTGCATTATTTATTGGGGGCAAGGCATGTGAGTGCCACTGCCCGCCTGTGGAAGGCAGAGAACAACTTGATCAGTTGAATCTTTCCCTTGACCTTGTGGTTTGAACTCAGGTCATCAAACTTGGCAGCAAGTTCCTTAACCCACTGAGCCATCCTACAAGTTCCAATTTTATTCTTTAGAATGTAAACTTCTCTTACTTTAGGTCAGTGAGCTGTAGTTTATTGGTATTCTTAAAAGGTGATGCCTCTTGGCAAACCCAAGCTGAGAGATGAGGTAGAGGAAAAATTAGACAGGAAGGAGAGGTAAAGAGTTCTGATTGCTAAGATTTGTATTGCAAACTAAAAGTAAGACAGATTTTATTTGAAATAAATTTGGTATGAATGGTGCTATATTAGACATCGTTCCAGTGTATTTATAATAATGATGATGCAGATATTTTGAGAGGCTTGTTAGGTCTTAATACAGACTAAAAGGTAAAATTGTGCCAGGTTTATATTTATGTTAATAGTATTGAACCAGTGTCAGTTTCTGGTTTTCTCAGGGGACTATGCTTAAATATTATCATTGGAGGAAATGGAGTGAAGAATATATAGAGAAAATAAAGTCTCATTACCACCATTTTTTGAATTAAAATTTTTTTGGGGGGTTCTTTTTGAGGCAAGGTCTCCCTGTAACCCCAGCTGTCCTGGAACTTACTATATAGACCAGGCTGACCTTGAACTTACAGAGATCGCCTGCCTCTGCCTCCCGAGTGCTGAGATTAAAGGTGTGCACCACCACACCCGGGTGAATTAATTATTTTAATCAACTCGACAATTAGCATATTCATTACCCTAAACTTTTAGCATTTCTTCTTGATGCGTTTGAATTGCCTCCTTTGTTGAAATATATAATTTAATTATTGCTAATTATATTCACCTACTGTGTGATAGAACACCAGTACTTATTTCCCTATTAAACAAAATATACCCATTGATCCAATTCTCTCCCTCCAGTGCTATTTTTGAAACTATGTCAAAATTGAAAATGTATAAAAACAAAATGAAAACTATGATGCTCCATTCTATAATCATAGCTCAGATGGAAATTGACAAAACTCAGCCTATAGTGGAACTCAGGCAGGTGGTCACAGGAAGGAGCATGGGTTCTGGAGTCAAGACAACTTTGGTTCACATCCAAGCTCTGCCACTCATTAGCTGTATGATCTTGGAAACATTTGAAAAATGGAGAAATATAAAATACATGATAATAAATCATGATAATAAGTAAATTAAACAATTTAAAAATGGAGCTACAGGGCTGTTCTTGCAAAAGACCCATTTTCGAATCCCAGTATCCACATGGCAGCTAACACCTGACCGTAACTCTAGTCCCAGGGGATCTGACAGGCTCTTCTGTCTTCCGCGGACATTGTACATTGCACGACACAGGTGCCTTTACATGCAGGCAGGCAATACACGCATACACATAAAACAAAAATAATAAATAAAATAAAATACAAAAGGAAAAAGAAAACAAAAAAAAACGAAGCTGGGCCGGGCCTGGTGGTGCACGCTTTTAATCCCAGCACTCGGGAGGCAGAGGCAGGTGGATCTCTGTGAGTTCAAGGCAACGTGGTCTACATAGTGAGTTCCAGGATAGCTGGGGCTACAAGGAGACCCTGCCTCAAAAAAGACAAAAAATTATAAAAAAAAAAACCCAAACAAAAAATGGAGCTGCAACCCCCATCTCCTGTAGTTGTAAGAACTAGATGAAGTACAGCTAGCATATAAGAGGTGCTTATTTATATGTCAGCTGCTGCCGTGACCATGATTATTTCACCATGGCCTGAGCGCCCAGCTACATTAATGCAGCAGAGTATTGGGCTTCTTTTCTTTCTTTTTTTAAAATTTATTATTTTATGTGTCTGAGCGTATTGCCTGCATGTAGGTAAGCGCACCCATGTCGTGCAATGCTCGCAGAGGACAGAAGAGGATGTCGGATCCCCTGGAACTGGAGCTAGGGATAGTTGTTAGCTGCCATGTGGGTGCTGGGATTCGAACCTGGGTCTTCTGCAAGAACAACCAGTGCTCTTAACTGCTGAGCCATCTCTCCAGCCCCATGGCTTCTTTTCTTTTTGAGGATATCTAAACAAGCAAAAATGAAAGCCTTTAAGATTTTTTTTCACATCTAGTTCTGCCAAGCTGTCTTGTTCCTATCTTAAACTTATGCAGTAAAAATATTTTGAACTTAGGAATAGGTTCTTAGGTTTATTCCTCTTCAGAAACATGTCTTGGTTTCGACCTGATGGTATAAGCCTAGGCTGCAGGGATTCTGGGCTTTTTAGCTAATAATGTTTCTGTTCAGCCAGGAGATATTCGTAAATTCAGTAAGCTTCCTTTCCAAGCCTTCAGCTAATTCATGAATGAAAAGGTTGGGCAGCATGGACAGTGATGTTTTGGCATGTCGCTAACACCTTTTCATCACACTGAACTGTCTACCAATGAACATTTGCTGAAATTGAATTCCAGGATTTCGCACTGAGTAGGGATGAATGGAACAACTTTGCCATGCTAAAGCCACAGTTTGGGTTCCCAAAGATGTCAGCTTGACATGTAGTTTTCAATTATAGGTCAAAGCATGAAGAAATCGATCTGGTTACCTGCAAGAACAACCAGTGCTCTTAACTGCTGAGCCATCTCTCCAGCCCCATGGCTTCTTTTCTTTTTGAGGATATCTAAACAAGCAAAAATGAAAGCCTTTAAGATTTTTTTTCACATCTAGTTCTGCCAAGCTGTCTTGTTCCTATCTTAAACTTATGCAGTAAAAATATTTTGAACTTAGGAATAGGTTCTTAGGTTTATTCCTCTTCAGAAACATGTCTTGGTTTCGACCTGATGGTATAAGCCTAGGCTGCAGGGATTCTGGGCTTTTTAGCTAATAATGTTTCTGTTCAGCCAGGAGATATTCGTAAATTCAGTAAGCTTCCTTTCCAAGCCTTCAGCTAATTCATGAATGAAAAGGTTGGGCAGCATGGACAGTGATGTTTTGGCATGTCGCTAACACCTTTTCATCACACTGAACTGTCTACCAATGAACATTTGCTGAAATTGAATTCCAGGATTTCGCACTGAGTAGGGATGAATGGAACAACTTTGCCATGCTAAAGCCACAGTTTGGGTTCCCAAAGATGTCAGCTTGACATGTAGTTTTCAATTATAGGTCAAAGCATGAAGAAATCGATCTGGTTACCTTAGAGGAATTTTATACAGAGGCTCCACCAAACATCAGCAAGGCCGAAATCACGATGGGAGACCCTCATCAACAGACCCTGGCACGTCTGGACTGGGAGCTGGAGCAGCGGAAAAGGTAGCACTTCCTCCTTCCTCACCTTGCTAACCACACAACAGTGCTTTGTCATGACCCAGCATTAGACAAAATTGTCTCCGAAACCACAACTCACTTTCTTATTAATTCATACTGGATTGTTTAAACTTTTTTGAAAAAGATATTTTATTTATTTTATGTGTATGTATATTTTATCTGCATGTATGTGAGTGCACCCATGTTGTGCAAAGCCGTGGAGGTCAGAGAGGGCTTCAGATTCCCCTGGAACTGGAGTTAAGAATGGTTCATAGCCACCATGTAGGTGCTGGGAATCGAACCCGGGTCCTCTTCAAGAGCAGTCAGTGCTCTTAACCACTGAGCCATCTCTCCAGCCCCTTATTATTTTAAGTGTATTATTATTTTTTTTGTTACATCTATTTGAGTGTATTGTGTGCATGTATGTCAAGTGCACCTGTGTCATGCAGTGCTTGCAGAGGTCAGAAGAGGGTGTTGGATTCCTTTGGAACTGGAGTTATAGAGCATTGTTAGCTGCCATGTGGGTGCTGGGAATTGAGCCCTGGGCCCTGTGCAGGAGCAGCCAGTCCTCTTATCTGCTGAGCCATCTCTCCAGCTCTGGGCTGTTTAAACTTGATCAACCTCTTCCTCTGTGGGTTTATAATTAAGATTATAAATAGAAAGTTAGAGGTGATGGGCTGTAACTCAGTGGTAGATGTTTGCCCACCATGCACAAGGCCCTGAGAGCAATGAATATTCATGCTTAACTAGCTTTTTTTTTTGCTTTTTTTTTTTTTTAAAAGACAGGATCTTACTGTGTAGCCCTAGCTGGTCTCAGACTTACAGAGATCCACCTACTTGTGCCTTCTGAGGGCTGGGATTAAAGGTGTGTACCACCATGCCAAGCCTGACTTTCTCCTTTGTATGCAATACAAGCCCAAGGAATGGGGCTAACCAATTTTTAAAGATCTTATTCATTTTATGTGTGTATCTTACTGTATGTATGCATACCATGTACATGCAGGTTTCAGTAGAAATCCAAAGAGGGCATCAGATACTTTGAAGCTGGAGTTATGGGTGGTCATGGGCCTACGGATGTGGATGCTAGGAATTGAACCTGGGTCTTCAAGAACAGCAAGTACTCTTAACCTCTGTGTCATCTCCAGCCCAACTACCCACTTTTAGGGTGGGTCTTCCCACTTCAATTAACCTAATTAAAATAATCCCTCACAGGTGTGCCTGGAGGCTTGTCTTCTAGGTGATTCTATTTTAAATTTTATTATTATTATTTATTTGCATTTTATGTGTTTTGCCTTCATACATACGTCTTGTGTGCCCATGGAAGTTAGAAGAGGTCACTGGATCCCCTGGAACTGGGGTTACTGACAGTAGTTAGCCAACAAACACATAGATGCTGAGAACCAAATCCAAGTCCTCTGCAAGAGTAACCAGTGCTCTTAATCACTGAGCCATCTCTCTAGCCCAATTCTAATTTTTAAAAAATTGTTCATGTATATATGTGTGTATGAGTGTGGGCATGCATGTGCCAGGGTACACATGTGGAGGTCAGAAGACAGTTTTGGGGAGGTGTTTCTTTTACTGTGGGTTCTGGGTATTGAATGCACATCATCAGCTTCCAGGGCAAGCACTTTTACCTGCTGAGTCATCTCGCTAACTAATCCGATGTGATTCTAGATTTTGTCAAGTTGAATCAATACAAACCATCACAATTCCACCCCTTGAAAATATGACACCCAGGTTTATCTCCTCTAACTCTAGTCCTCTGCCTCTTGCCCCTTTAGGCTCATGGACATTTCATAATGCAAAATACATTTAGTCCATCTCTCCAAGTCCCCATAGTTTTAATATACCAAGCACTTCAAAAGTCCAAATTCAGGATCTTGCTATATCATAGACTGGCTTCAAATTACTGCTCAATCCATCTTCTTGCTTCAGCTTCCCAAGTGGTTAGACCCACAGGCATGCCATTACCATGTCTGGAAATTGAAGTAACTTTTCCTGAGGGACTAGAGAGATGGCTCAGTGTTAGAGTGCTTACCTAATTTTATATATGTGTGTGTGTGTGTGTGTGTGTGTGTGTGTATATATGTATGTATGTATATATATTCATGTGTCTCTGAGTCAATCTCTAGTACCATAAAAACAAAACAAGAAAAAAAGGAAAAGAAATGACTGTCTGGGCATGGTGGCACACATTTGTAATCCCATCAGTTGGGGCTAAGACAAATCCCAAAATCAGGAGGCTGAGGTGGAAGAATTGCTATGAGTTCAAGGCCAGCCTGGGCTATGTAGCAAGACTTTGACTCAAAAATGCAAAAAAGGGAGGCTGGGCATAGTGGCTCATGCCTTTAATCCCAGCTCTCAGGAGGCAGAGGCAGGTGGATCTTTGTGAGTTTGAGGCCAGCCTGGTCTACATAGTAAGTTCCGGGCTAGGTGGAGCTACAGGAGACCCTGTCTCAAAAAGACAAAAAAAAAAAAAAAAAAAAAAAAAAAAAAAAAAAAAAAATGCTGGGGCCAGAGAGATGGCTCAACAGTTAAGAGCATCACTGGCTACTTTTGCAGAGGACCTGGGTTCGAATCCCAGCACCCACATGGCGGCTGACAACTATCTGTAACTCCAGTTCCAGGGGGATCTAATGCCCTCTTCTGACCTCCAGAGTCATTGCACAACACAGGTGCACTTACATATATGCAGGCAATATACTCATACACAGAAAATAAAAATAAATAATTTTTAAAAAATGCAAAAAAGGGCTGGTGAGATGGCTCAGTCAGTAAAGGAGCTTGCTGCCAAGCCTGAGAGCTGAAGTTTGATCCCCAGAACCTACATGGTGGAAGGAGAGAACCAACTCTGCATGTTGTCCTCTGACCTCTACAGGTACTTCATGGCACAAGCATCCCCCCCAAATAAATAAATAAATGACATTTTTAAAAAATGTTAAGTATGATGATGCCAGGCGTGATGGCATACGCCTTTAATCCTAGCACTCGGGAGGCAGAGACAGGCGGATCTCTGTGAGTTCAAGGCCAGTCTGGTCTACATAGTAAGTTCCAGGACAGCTGGGGCTACAGGGAAACCCTGTCTCAAAAAGACCGAAAAAAGAAAAAAAAAAAGTATGATAATGTTTGTAAAGTACTTACTAAAGGGCTTGGTAGTTAGTGAGTGCTGGCTACTATTAGAACTAGTAACAGCTGCTGCTGCTATAAGTAGAGTCTGAGTGAACAGGATGTTGAGGTATCCCTATAAGGCATCCATGACAGTGTTCTCTGTGTCCCTTCAGGCTGGCAGAGAAGTACCGAGAGTGTCTGTCCAACAAGGAGAAGATCCTGAAGGAGATTGAGGTGAAGAAGGAGTACCTGAGCAGCCTTCAGCCTCGCCTCAACAGCATCATGCAGGTAAACAGAGGCCACCAGAATCCACCTCACTCTGGGCTTTGCCAGATGTATGATCCTAATCAGAGTACACCATGAGGATGCTTTTGTCTTCGGTCCTACCAGCTGGTAGGACAAACTCATGTCCTGGGCTAAAGAAGTGCTGGGAGCTGGGCTCAGGAGCATACATACACCTGGACATTTTGTTTTTGTTTTTCTTTGCTTTTTTAAGAAAAATAATTATTGATTCTTTGAGAATTTCATACAGTGTATTTTGATCATGTTCAGACCATCCCCCATGTCCACTCCTACCTTACTACTCTTAACTACTGGCACTTGATAGCTGCTGGAAGAGGGAAAATTGGGTTTGTTGCTGTTCCTGTAGTTGAGAGGATTGGGTCTTTTAAAAATATTTATTTATTTTTATTTTATGTGTATGAATGTTTTGCCTGCATGCAAGTGCACCCATTCACACAATGTCCATGGAGGCTAGAAGAGAGCATTGGATCCCTTGGAACTGGAGTTAGAGACTGTTGTTAGTTGCCACGCTGGGAATGAACCCAGGTCCTCTGAAGAGCAGCAAATACTCTTAACCACTGAGCCATCTTTCCAGCCCTGAGAGTCAGTTTTCTTTAAAGAGTATGACACAGGCAGATCTTTATGAGTTTGAGGATAGCCTACGTGGTGAATTCCAGGCCAGCTGGGGCTACAGGGAGACCCTGTCTCAAAACAAAACAAAACAAAACAACCAAAACCAAATAATAAGAACCTGAAGACAGAAACCATGGAGGAACACTGCTTGCTAGCTCACTCTTGGGGCTGGAGAGATGGTTTAGCAGTTAAGGACACTAGTTGCTCTTCTAGAGGACCTGGGTTCAATTCCCAATACCCACATGGTGGAGGACCTGGGTTCAATTCCCAGTACCTACATGGTGGCTAACAACCATCCATAACTGCAGTTCCAGGGGAATCCAATGTCCTCTTCTGACTTCTGAGGGCATTGCACACACGAGTGCACTTACACACTTGCAAGCAATGCACTTACACACATTAAAAAAAAGGTACGACTCAAGCAAACCATTCTGGGTCAACTCTCCGAAGCACTCGATGGGCCTGCTCACCATGTACATTCATGTTTATTTCTAGAATCCCCTCCCCACCCAGGGACAGCTTGTCTTTGTCTGAGACTCGTTTTTCCTACTGTTGTTTCTTCTCCTGGCACTGTATGTTGGACCAACCTTGAATACCTTCTTTGCACATTGACACTTAAAAAACCCAAATCTGGGGCTGGAGAGATGGTTCAGTGGTTAAGAGCACTGGCTGAGCTTGCAGGGGACCTGGATTGGGTTTCCAGCACCCACAAGGAGGCTAACAACCATTTGTAACTCCAGTTCCAGGAGATTAGACCCATTTGTGGCCTCCATGGGCATTGCACACATGTGGTACACTTACATACATGCAGGCAAAACACTCATGCACATAAAATAAAAATTAAAAACAAAAACCCTCCTCCAAACAAAAACCCAGGTCATTGAGATTACTTAGGGCATAAAGGCATCTGCCACCAAGTGTGACACTTGAGTTCGATCCCTAGGATCCACATGGTGAGAGACAGGGCTGACTCTTTTTGTTTTGTTTTGTTTGTTTGGGGTTTTCCTGTGACCCCAGCTGGCCTGCTCTGTAGACCAGGCTGGCCTCAAACTCACAGAGATCTTCCTGCCTCTGCCTCCTGAGTGCTGGGATCGAAGGCATGCACCACCACTCCTGGCCAGGACTGACTTTTGAAGGCTGTCCTCTGACCACCACATGTGCACTGTGGCACACAAGCACGCCCCCATAAGTAAATAAAATATAATTTTAAAACCCCTTGTTTTATTTAAACTTAACTCCAGTTCATCTGGCCTCTGCAGGCATTGCATAACATAGATGCACTCCATACATGCAGGCAAAGCACTCATACATATAACATAAAAATAAATAAAACAAGGTTTTAAAAAGTGCCGTGGAATGGACCCATACCCAAGAGCTTTTGGGGAACACAAATTAGGCTTGATAGACTTCAAAAATAATACTGGGCCTTTTTTTCTTTTAAACATATATATTTAAATATTTATTATTTTTATTTTATGTTTATGAGTGTATTGCCTGCATGTAGGTAAGTGCACCCTTGTTGTGCAATGCCTACGGAGGACAGAAGAGGCCATTAGATCCCCTGGAACTGGAGTTACAGACAGTTGTTAGCTACCATGTGGGTGCTGGGATTTGAACCTGGGTCTTCTGCAAGAACAACCAGTGTTCTTAACCTCTGGGCCATATCTCCAGCCCCAGGGCCTTTGGTTTTTATCCATAGCTTTTAGGTAACACCTCAGACTATGTAAGTTCAGTTTACCCCCTCCCTGCATGGTCCTTACCAGCCCTACAGTCTCTAGGCATTTCAAGTTGCTTCCTGTAGATGTATATTAGGTTCCACTGACACCACCTCAGGGCTGACTGCAGCAGATCTGTCTCTGAAAAGAACTTGACGTGAATCTGAAAACCATTATGTGCCTTAGGATGAAAAACTCCCACTTTACCTATTAAATAGAATCTCTCTCTCTCTCTCTCTCTCTCTCACTCTCTCTCTCTCTCTCTCTCTCTCTCTCTCTCTCTCTCTCTCTCTCTCTAACCTATTTTTAATTTGTGAAACCAAAATGGTCTAAATCATTATAGATTTATGAAGCAAGATAAATGGAGGAACTTTGTAAAAGGACCCTAGAGAAATAGAGAAATAAAAGTTTGCTTTTCTAGGACTTGGCAAGGTCTGCTCTTCTTCCCTTCAACTTCAGGCACAGAATTAGAGTTATTAACAAGAATTTCTTTTCCAGTTGCACTTTATAATAGGAGAAGAAAATGGAGCTGGAGCTGGGTTGTTGGTGTTCTTGGGAGGCCAATTCAAGAAGATCATGAATTTGAGGGTAGCCTGAACTATATAGAGAGCAAGTTTTAGGCCACCTGGGCTATATAGCTAGATACTGTCTCACAAAAACAAGAAGAGGGAGAGAGTACAAAAGAGAATGAGAATGGAAATAAGCATTTCTGGTTGTACTTAACACTTCAGTCCCTCCTCATGGTTAAGATTTCTCCTGTTACTCAGAAACTGTAAATATCCCTAAATAGAGTATAAGTTAAATAAATTTTTGTGTAGTACAACCTTAGTGCTGTGACTAGTCATGTAGGTTATATAGAGCCTACTATAAGCACATACCATTTATAAATATATAGAAAAATCTATTATTAAACAAAATGCAATTATAGTACAATGTCATTTGTATACCTAGGTTTCAAAGTGTTTATATGGAGATTATATGTGTGTGTGAATTTGTGTATACTTAGTCTGAAGTCACGCTAAACCACTAACAGTTACCTTTGGGGGTCACAAACTCGGAAATTTTGCTTTATAAAATAAACTTGAAGGGGCTGGAGAGATGACTCAGCAGTTAAGAGCACTCACTGCTCTTGCAGAGGTCCCAGGTTTGATTCTTAGCACGCACATGATGGCTTTGAACTGCCCTTAACTCCAGTTCCAGGGGAATCTGAAGCCCTCTTCTGACCACCATGGCATTGCATGACACGGGTACACTCACTTACATGCAGGCAATTCACGCATACACATAAAATAAAAATAAAATTTTTTTTTTTTTTTGGTCTTTTTGAGACAGGGTCTCCCTGTAGCCCCAGCTGTCCTGGAACTCACTATGTAGACCAGGCTGGCCTTGAACTCACAAAAACCCGCCTGCCTCTGCCTCCAGAGTGCTGGGATTAAAGGCGTGCGCCACCATGCCCAGCTAAAAAAAAAAAAAGTAAAATATTAAAAAAAATATATATATATATGTGTGCCTTTTCCTTTTTTCTTATGTTGTATGTGTTATATGTGTATGTATGTGCTCATGTACATTAGAGAGACTGATATCAGTGTTTTCTTCTGTTGCCCTCTATATTTATTTATTTATTTATTTATTTATTTATTTATTTATTTGAGACAGGATCGCTCACTGAGGCTAGAAATCATCTGTTGGCTAGACTAGCTGACCAGCAAGCTCTAGGGATCCTCCTACTTCAGCAATACCCTCTATCTCCACCCTCAGTGCTGGGGTTACAGGCTTGCATTGCCATGTCCTGCTTTTCATGTGGGTGCTGGGGAACCAAACTCAGGTCCTCATGCTAGAGCAGCAAGCATTTTACCAACTGAGCCATCTCCCCACCCCTTGAATACACATTTCTGATCAACATGTATGTATTACTTAAAAATAACTGGGTATGTGTGCCTGTAATCCAAGTTGCTAAGAAGGAAGACTACTTAAGACCATGAGTTTGAGACCATCTTGGGTAGTACAGCCAAGCCCACTCCTCTAAAAAAGTCATAATTAAACACAGGGCTTGGCATGCAGTTCAGTGATAAGAGTGCATACATAGTGTGCATAAAGTATTAGTCTTGTTCCTGAGTGCCAAAAAAATAGTAGCAATAATTTTACACACAAAAAAGTATGTAACTCATAAGTGTGCAGCAGAATGAAGATTTACTAAGTGAACACATCTATACAACCACCCCAAATCAAGGGAAGGAACCTTAAACATTGTCTACTTCTGTTATTTCCCACTCCCAGACACAATATCCTTCTGCCCTTCAGTAACCATTGTTTTGACTTTTAAAAGTTAATTAATTTATTTTTTATTTTATGTGTATGCATGTATTGCCTGCTTGTAGGTAAGTGCACCCGTGTGTGCAATGCCCGCAGAGGTCAGAAGAGGCTGTCAGATCCCCTGGGACTGGAGTTACGGACAGTTATTAGCTGCCATGTGGGTGCTGGGATTCGAACCCGGGTCTTCTGCAAGAACAGCCAGTGTTCTTAACTGCTGAGCTATCTCTCTAGCCCCTGTTTTGACTTTTAACATTACAGACTAATTTTCTCTGCTTTTGAACTTGATATAAATAGAATCATATAAACTCTTCAGTGTCTGGCTTCTTTTACTCAGTGGTATGTTTTTGAAGTTTATCTATGTTACTGTGAGTACAAGGAAATTTTTTTTTCTTCATTGATGATAATTTGATTTCAGTTGTTCCAAGTTTGGGTCTATCATAAAGTAATGTGGCTTTGAGTATTGTTACACATGCCCTTTGGTCTTCATGTATACACATTTCTGTTGAATATATAGGCATAAATGCTATGTTCTTTGCATGTATTTAGCTTTGATAGACTCTGAAACAGTTTTCTAAAGTGATTGTGCTGACTTACAGAAATATTTCTGATTGATCAGTATCCTTGCCAGTGCTTAGTGTTGTCCGTCTTTTTAATTTTAGCCCATCTGGAGGGTCTCTCATTGTGGTTTTAGTTTTCTTTTTCATTTTCTTTTTATTTTAAGAGAGAGAGAGAGAGAGAGAGAGAGAGAGAGAGACAGACAGACAGACAGACAGAATAGGTGGAGGACAGGAAATTTGCAGGAATCAGTTTTATCCTTCTACCATGTGGGTTCCTGGGATCAAACGCAGGTTGTCAGGTTTAGTGACAAGTGTGTGTATTCACTGAGCCATCTTGCAGGCCTTAATCTTTTCATTTTCGTTTTACTGGGTACATTTTTCTTTTCTCTCAAGTCTTTCCTTGTTTCTCTCTTCCTGTTTTTGTTGTTGTTGTATTGAGATCCAAGGCAAGCATTTTGCAACTGAGTTATGCCTCCAGCCCCTTGATGTTTTCTTGATGCCCCTGAAAATGTGCAAGTGGCATCTTTTTATAATTTCCTTTTCTTATTCTGTTGGTGGTATAAAATGCAGTTGATTGTTCATAATTGATCTTTTTTCTTATATATTCCATCAGTTGATTATGAGTCACTTTTGTAAGTAAAAACTAGCTGTTAGGCTGGGCATGGTGGTGTACACCTTTAATCTCAGCACTCAGGAAGCAAAGGCAGGCAGATCTAGATCTCTCTGAGATCAAGATCATCCTGGTCTACATAGTGAGTTCCAGGCCAGCTGAGCCTGCAGGGATACCCTGTCTCAAAAAGACAAAACAGACAAACAAAAAAGCTATCTGTTGATTGGGCTAGTGGTATCATTCAGTGGTTGGGTGCTTATCTAGCATGTTCAAGGCTCTGGACTCAAACCCCAGTAGAGAAACTAAAAAGAAATTGGGGGCTGGAGAGATGACTCAGGGGTCAAGAGCACTGACTGCTCTTACAGAGGACCTGGGTTGGAGTCCCAGTACCCAAATTGCAGCTAACAACTGTCCGTAAGTCTAGTTCCAGGGAATTCCACACCTTCTTCTGACCTCCTCAGGCATTGCACGACACAGGTGCACTTACACGCATGCAGGCAATACACTCATACACATAAAATAAAAATAAAATATTTTTTAAAAAAAGAAATTAAGGGGGAAAAACTGGTCATAGAGCATGTGGGTAGACTCAAAAATCAAAAATAAAAACTCTGCTTCTGTTGTTTGTAGGCTTCCCTCCCAGTGCAGGAATACCTGTTCATGCCATTTGACCAGGCTCACAAGCAGTATGAGACTGCCAGGCACCTGCCACCTCCCCTCTACGTGCTCTTTGTCCAGGCCACTGCATATGGTCAGGCCTGTGGTGAGTATCTGGGCTGGGTGAGGAGGAGGGCTGTGGGAGCAGCAACCATGGTATGGAAGTCCTGCTTGCCTAGGAGAGTTCCCCAGCCTTGCCTGAGAGCCCACAGGTGACAGATGCTGCCTCACCTTTATACCTTGAAGCAGCATGACTGCTTCAAATAGCTGGCCTGAGGCTGGACTAATGTGATGGACATTTCAGAATGGATGGCTTTGAGTCTTTCACATGTTTGGCTATACGGCTCCCGGATATAGTGTCCAGGCTCCCAGGTGCTCATTCCATGAAGACATACTTGACAGGTAGATCAGTGTCTCCTGTTCCACCTTGGGGGTGGGGTGCTTGGTGAATTCAGGTCCCAGCCAGCACTCCCAGGTTTTCACATGCCCTGACATAAACTGCATGAGTTTCTGATGAAAATTACCAGGGGAGAGGACATGTCCTCATTATTCTCAGAGCAGTCTGTGACTGCTAGTTTTTCCTAGAAGATGTTTGCTCTTGTTCCCCCGCAGTTTTTACCCAGCCCTAAACTTTTCTTTCTCACTCCCACCCTGCCCCATTGCATCAGACAGACATACACTGCACCCGTGCATGCTCCTTGTCCTAGCCATGGCACCAACACATTACTGTGTCTCTTCTTATGTCTTCTTGGTCCGTCTCGTCTTCTCCCTTCCCTTTGTTCTCTTCCGTTGCCATCATCAGCTCATATGAAATCCTCCTCCCAGCCCCCTAGACAGGGTGAGTAATTTTCTTTTGTGTTTAAAATTCTACTTGCTTCCACTTCTATTTTCCTGTAGAATTCAAGACTAAACACTTAAAAAGAATATTCTAGGGAAGGGATTTGTCTCTGGTAGAATGATTGGCATGTAGAGGCCCAGGTTTGATCTCCAACTGCAAAAGTAAAAAAATAGTTTGGCAATTTTTAGTGCCTAATTGTGGATAACCAGCTTCTTGAAGTTGGGGTGGGATGGTTTGTTTATTGTTGCCAGATATTAGGCAGTGCTTGGTTATAGGAAGAAGTTTCCCTTCCCTCTTTAGTACAGTTGGGCAGATGGTGTCAGGCTTCTGTGACATTCTATATTCCTTAGAGGAGGAGAAGCTGGGGTTTAGCTCAAACTCTGATGTCCCCAGGACCATCAAAGGAAAAAAAAAAAAAAAAAAAAAAGAAGTAGAGTGATAGAATGAAGTAGAGTGATAGCTTCTTTGACCTCACAGCACTAGGACCCTAGAGTTACACAGAATTGTACCCAAAGAGTCACTCAGTGAGACATCAGGATGAGTGTGGGGAACAGTTGTTAACTGAATGTCTGAGAGACCAAGCTCAAGTCAGACCTAAAGTTGAATTTTGGCTTATCTTGTTTCCTAAATGTGGTTTGTTACTTCACTGAGCCATTTCTCTAAATGGCTTAATGATAGTATTGTCCCTATCAGATTGCTGTGAAGATTAAAAACTTATTTCTTTTGCGGTAGTGGGGATCAGACCCACAGCCTTAATGCTTATTAATCATACACTCTACTTCTGCACTACATTCCTCACCCCCAAAACTAATAATAATTAAAATCATAAACATTCATTTAGCCCCTGCCACTGAACAAAGCAGCTACTATTTGCCAAGTCCCCATTTCATAGATATGAAAACTGAGGCTCAGAATAGTAACTTCACTTTCTAGGTAACACATTCAGGAATGGGTGGGACAGGGACTCAGGCCTAGGACTGGGCTGCAACACTCTGTTCCTACTTACTCTTCATTGCCTCCTAGTGAAATGAGACAGTGCTAGCCAGGTGCTTGGAGCCATACAGAATATAGAACAAGCCCTTCTTATAAAGAATAGTCCATCATTTGGGGGATGTGGGCTTCTGGATGAGAGCTTTTAGAACAGCTGGTGGCAGAGTTCCATGGGGTGGGAAAGCTGGGTTTGAATTTGGGGACTTTGTGCTAGTCTCAGGGGTGTTTATTTGGGAGTCAGTACTTTGGATTATTTGTTTTTAGCAAACCATAGGGAAAAGATTTTTTTCTGTATTATTCCTCTCTGTGTAGAATTTTTAATTTTCTTAGTAAGGCACTGGGGCAGGTGCAGAGGAAATGCAGCCTCTGAGTTGGCTTGCTTGTATCACTCCCCAGCACCCTCCCCAGCATCTTTCTAAGAGGATTTTTCTTGCCCCCAGATAAGACATTGTCTGTGGCAATTGAAGGCAGTGTGGATGAAGCCAAAGCTCTCTTCAAGCCCCCTGAGGACTCTCAAGGTAACATGGTGATTGGGATACCTCCCCCAAGGACATCAAATCACCACCTAAGGGCAGTCTTGGTGCAATGTAGTAGAAAACTTGACCTTAATGTGAGTTTGGGGGTAGACCCAGGAGAGTTCAGTTCCCAGAGTCACAAAGTGCTGCCTTTGGATTTCAGCCCTGCTACTAACTACTACTTTGACCCTGGGGAAGGCAAGTAACATGTTTTGAGGCTCAGTTTACTCGTTTGTAAAATGGTATAGGTTAATGCCTCAGGAGGCTGAGGCAGGAGGCTTGAAGCCAATTTATAGTCTACATTGCAACTTCCAGGTTAGCTTAGGGTGACATATTAAGACCCTGTCTCAACCCCTGTCCCCCCCTCCCCAAAAAAGGTAGTAATATCTCAATATAGAATTGTGGATTACATGAGAGAGTGATCTTATCTTTTACCCATAGCAACCCTCTAATTATGTAAGCATTTGTTGTTATTTATACTACTGTCACAGCCACACCACCATCAAGAGGGCTTGTGCTCCATGGAAATGACATTAAAAAGACCCTTAATAAATAGGGCTGGGAGCTGGGAATATGGCTCCATAGGTAGTGCTTGCTGCATAAGCATGAGGGCCTGATTTTGAATCCCTAGCATCCATGTAAAAATAAGCTGTGTGTGGCTGTATCTATAACTCCACTGCTGGGAATGGAGACAGACAGATCCCAGGGACTGGACTGCCAGCCTAGCTGAAATGGTGAACTCTGTGAAAGACCTTGTCTCAAAAAAATAAGGTGGAAAGCTAGACATGGTAACGCATGACTTTAATCCCAGCACTGGAGGCAGAAGCAGGTAGATCTCTGTGAGTTCAAGGCTGGCCTGGTCTACATAGCAAGATCTGGGACAGCTAGGGCTACAGGGAGACCCTGTCTCAAAAAGACAAAGAAAAGGGGGGGGGTCCTGGAGAGATGGCTCAGCGGTTAAGAACACTGGCTGTTCTTTGCAGATGACCCAGGTTCAAATCCCAGCACCCACATGGCAGCTAACAACTGTCCGTAACTCCAGATCCAGGGGATTTGACAGTGTCTTCTGTCATCCTTGGGCATTGCACGACATGGGTGCACTTACCTACATGCAGGCAATACACGCATACACATAAAATAAAAATAATACAAAAAATATTAAAAAAAAAAAAAAGCTGGAGAAGCAATTGAATAGTATATCCTACAATCAACCTCTGGCCACCACATGTGCTACATGGGCAAGTTCTCCCACATACATATGAATGCGCACACACACACACACACACACACACACACACACACACACATCAAAAAACTAGAGCTGGCCAAGTGTGGTGGTATGCACCTTTAATCCGAGCACTTAAAAGACAGAGGCAGGTATACCTCTGTGAAATTGAGGTCAGCCTGGTCTCCATAGTGAATTCCAGGGGCTACAGGGAGAGCCTGTCTCAAAAATCAGAAACAAGGCCAGGTGTGGTGGCTCACTTTAATCCCAGCACTCGGGAGGTAGAGACAGGTGGATCTCTGTGCGTTCAAGGACAGCCTGGTCTACATAGTGAGTTCTAGGACAGCTGAGGCTACAGGGAGACCCTATCTCAAAAAAACCAAAAAAAAAAAAAAAAAATCAGAAACAGTAAAACAACAACAACGAAAACAGAACAGTTGGGATTACAGGTCATTCTTCTTTGTTCATTATGTTTTCTGTCCTGAGTAAGAACCAATTAACTCAGTATTTATTCTAAAGAAACTCACACAAAAAGACAGTCTGGGCCCCTCAGTCTGTGGGTGAGGTTCTTCAAGGAGCATATGGAATTATCTCACTTCTTACTTCATTCTCTGTGTGACTTCAGATGACGAGAGTGACTCAGATGCTGAGGAAGAGCAGACCACGGTGAGCCCCATTTCCTGTTGTAGGGGTACTATGCGGTCATGCTCACATTTTTAAGTGTCATTTTCTCTAAAAGCAAAAGAAAGAGGACTGAAGAAGGAGCTGTGCTGGGACAGGAGCTTGACAGCTGGGTAGCTGAGACTTGTGGGTGGCAGTGTAAACAAGAGATTCCTATCACCAATACTTTGATCTTTCTTTTATCCAGAAACGGCGGCGACCCACACTCGGGGTTCAGTTGGATGACAAGCGCAAGGAGATGCTGAAGAGGCACCCGCTATCTGTTTTGCTTGATCTGAAGTGTAAAGGTCTGGCTGTACTCACTTCATTTGGAGGCTCCCATAGCATCTAAGAATTTGGCCAGATTTTTTGCATTTATTTATTGTGTGTATGTGCATGCCTGTCAGGGTGGGCCTGTGGAGGTCAGAGAACAACCTGCAGGAATTGTTTCTTTCCATCTACTGTATGGGTGTTGGGGATCAAGCTCAGTTCATCAGGATTGATGGCAAGTGCTTTTTCTCTGAGTCACCTCTCTGGCCCTCTGTTTTCTCTCTTTGCTTTATGTGGGTTGCCTTTGGTTGGTTGGTTGGTTGGTTGGTTGGTTGGTTGGTTGGTTGGTTGGTTGGTTGGTTGAAGTTACAATAATAAAAGCTTCTAAAACTACAGTTCTTTCTCAATTTGACTTATAAGTACATGGAACAAGCCAGGCATGGAGGTGCATACCTTTAATCCTTTCACTTGGGAGTCAGAGGCAGGCTGTCTGTAAGTTCGAGGCCAGCCTGGTCTATGTAGTGAGTTCCAGGCCCGTTGTGTCTACAGGGAGACCCTGACTCAAAAAGACCAGAATGAAAAAGAAAGAAAGAAAGAAAGAAAGAAAGAAAGAAAGAAAGAAAGGGTTCTGAATGATACAACTAACATGTTTCATTCAATAAATACACATTTAGAACTTTGTATTCTGGGGTTGCCAAGATAACTGACCACATGAGTTTGATAGGCAGAACCCACTTGGGCAGACAAATGAAACTCCACCTCTTGAAAGGAAGAATAGCAAAGAATTTGTAGATTCTGGGGTATTTTGTGTGTGTGTGTTTGTTTGTTTTGGTCTTTTTGAGACAGGGTCTCCCTGTAGCCTCAGTTGGCCTGGAACTTACTATGTAGACCAGCTGGCCTTGAACTCAGAGATCTGCCTGCCTCTGCCTCCCAAGTGCTGGGATTAAAGCTGTGCATCACCACGCCTGGCTTTTTTTTTTTTTTTCTTAATATATTGCTCTTAAATTTTTGTTTTTATAATAGAAGGTTGTAAAAGTGGGGCTGGAGGGTTGGCTCAGTGGTTAAGAGCACTGACTGCTCTTGCAGAGGATCCAGGTTTGATTCCCAGCACTCACATGGCGGCTACGAACCATACTTAACTCCAGTTCCAGGGGAATCCAAAGCCCTCTTCTGACCTCCGAGGCATTGCATAACACGGGTGCACTCACATACACACAGGCAATACACTCATACACATTAAAAATAATAAATAAAATACATTTTTTAAAAGGTTGTAAAAGTTTTTTTAGATTTCTATAGTGCTGCTAACCTGCTATAAGTATTTGAATTAATGATCTCTTCTTTTCCTCCTCCAGACAGCAGTGTGCTTCACCTGACTTTCTACTACCTCATGAACCTCAACATCATGACAGTAAAAGCCAAAGTGACAACTACCATGGAGCTGATCACCCCCATCAGTGCAGGGTATGGGGCGAGCACTGTGGGATGAACCTGGGAGTGGGGTGGAGAGAGCCCCTGACCTCTATTCCTCTGGCTGCTTCTTAGAGGGTCTCTTGCAGTGCTGGCTTCCATCATTGTGCCCTACAGGATGGGAGTCCTGGCACGTCACTGGGCTTTAGAAAGTACTCTCTGAGTTACATTTGTGAAGCCCTCTTACTACACAGCAGATGAGAAAGTGACAACAGCTTATTTGTTGGGTAGGGCAGAACCACAAGTTTTATAGCCGGGGAATGTATGTGGGTGCATAAATGAGTATGGGGAACGTGACCAAGTTGACAAATTTAAGGTCCTTCTTTTCCTATTTCTGCCCTAAGGTGCTAAGACTTTTGTTCCCAACTCAGCTCAGCCCCCAGGTTTTCCTTACCTTGGTGGTAAGAGGAGGCCTGTAGGATGTGCTGATAAAAGTTGAGCACAGGACATAGTAATGACAGCCTCAGTATCCCCAGAAAGCACTTGACCATAATAGTCTTGTAGTTGAGGGTGGGAAGCATGGTGGACAGAGAGGAATAAACTAGCCTCTATTTTAAGGAGCACTGTTCTGGCCTAATGCTTCTGGCCCTGCCCTGACTGAGTCCTGCTATCAGCTGGAGGAACACCATTGAAACTCAGGAAGGCACAGATCAGGTGCCTAGTGGAACAGGAGAGGAGTCTCTTGACTTTAGACCCAACACCCCCTTTGCATGGTAGTGTTGGACTACTTGGGGGAATGCTGAATGAAATTAACCTTGCTCCCAGCAGAGGGAGCCCAGAGCTTTTTTCTGAGACCAAATTAAACTGCGAAGCCAGGACTTTCTGTCAAGTGAGTAGATCTAGGACCCTCTTGATGGGGGTGAGGCATCTTGTGAATATTCTATTCCCTCATTTCTTTTTCTTTGTTTCTTTTCTTTTTTTTGATCTTTTTGAGACAGGGTCTCCCTGTAGCCCCAGCTGTCCTGGAACTCACTATGTAGACAAGGGAGACCCTGTCTCAAAAAGACCCCCCCAAAATTTCATTTTATGTGTATGTTATGCCTGCATGTGTATGTAAGTGCACCTGTGTCATACAATGCCCTCAGAGGACAGAAGAGGGTTTGGATCCCCTGGAACTGGAGTTATGGACAGTTGTTAGCCGCCAGGTGGGGGCTGGGTTTCAAACCCAGGTCTTCTGCAAGAACAACCAGTGCTCTTAACTCTTGAGCCATCTTTCTAGTCCCCAGACTGACTTTATTGCATGTTTTAGTCTAGTTCATAGGTCTCAGAATCCCCCTTTTTTTTTTTTTTTGGTCTTTTTGAGACAGGGTCTCCCTGCAGCCCCAGCTGGCCTGGAACTCACTATGTAGACCAGGCTGGCCTTGAATTCACAAAGATCCACCTGCCTCTGCCTCCCAAGTGCTGGGACTACAGGTGTGCACCACCATGCCAGGCAGAATCCCTTTTTTATGTAGTCATTAGTTACAAGATCCTCTCCTGCTGGGTATGGTGGTGCACGCCTTCAATTCTAGCACTCGGGAGCCAGAGGCAGGCAAATCTCTCTGGATTTGAGACCAGCCTGGTCTACATAGTGAGTTCCAGGCCAGCTGGGGCTACAGGGAGACGCTGACTCAAGAAGACCAAAAGAAACCAAAAAAACATCAAGATCCTCTCCCGGGTTCTTGTAAAGAGGCAGATCATGTGCTTAGCATAGATGAGGCATTTAGTCAGTGATAAATGGCTTATCATTTTTTCTATTTCTTGATGCTAAAGATTAAACCCAGGACCTTCTGCTAAGGTAGAGTCTCTGCCACTGGGTTATATGCCCAGCCCCATTAAATATCATTTTCCATTTTTTATTTTCCCAAATTGGGTTCTTGTTTTATTGTGGTTTTTACTTTGATACTGTTGGGGTTTTTGTTTGTTTGTATGGGCTTTGTTTTGGTTTTGGAAACTTGGTTTTTTTGTTTCGTCAGTTTGAGACAGAGCCTTGCTGTGTGTATCCTCAAGCTCAAGCTCTTCCTGTGCCTGAGCCTCCCAACTGCTAGGAATACAGGCCTGCACTAGAGTCCTTCCCACTAAAATTTTATAGCAACAGTTTTGTTCTGTTTTGTTTTTTAAGACAGAGTTTTGTGTAGCTCAGGCTGCCCTCACCTTATTTACTGTTATAGAGGCTGGCCTTGAGCTCTTGGTCCTCCTGCCTCCATTTCTGGAGTACTGGGATTACAAGTAAGGGTATGCCACCCTGCCTAGCCTATGACAAAGATCTGAATCATGCAATAGTTTATATTTGGGGAATTGTTTTTATGGCTACAGACTACCTTCCCTTTTTGTCCTTTTTGCTTTCTTTGTTCTTTGTTTTTTCCTCCCTCCCTCCCT